GTCAAGCCTGGCCAGCGTCGCTTCCAGGGAATCGAAGATATCATGAAGGCTCGTATTCTGGCGTCTGCTCGTCACAAGGCCTATGTCGTGTCCGCTGACGAGCGTGAGGGTGGTCTTCGCAATCTGTTGAACTGGGGCCACTCCATTGGTCATGCCATCGAGGCTATCCTGACCCCTCAGGTCCTCCACGGTGAGTGCGTCGCCATTGGTATGGTCAAGGAGGCCGAATTGGCCCGCCATCTTGGCATCTTGAAGGGTGTCGCGGTCGCTCGTATCGTCAAGTGTCTTACCGCCTACGGATTGCCTACGTCTCTGAAGGATGCGCGCATCCGGAAGCTTACTGCTGGAAAGCACTGCTCCGTCGAACAGCTCCTCTTCAACATGGCCTTGGATAAGAAAAACGATGGACCTAAGAAGAAGGTCGTTCTGTTGTCTGCTATCGGGCGCACATACGAGCCCAAGGCTAGCGTTGTTCCGAACGAGGACATCAGTGTCGTTCTTGCTCCGAGTATCGAGGTGTACCCCGGTGTCGCGCCGGCTTCGAATGTCGTCTGTACCCCTCCAGGCTCGAAGAGTATCTCGAACCGGGCATTGGTCCTGGCTGCTCTTGGTTCGGGTACCTGTCGCATCAAGAACCTGCTCCACTCGGACGACACTGAAGTCATGTTGAACGCATTAGAGCGACTGGGAGCTTGTACCTTCTCTTGGGAGGAGGAGGGTGAGGTTCTCGTGGTGAACGGCAAGGGAGGTGATCTCCAAGCAACCTCTACGCCGCTTTACCTTGGTAATGCGGGAACGGCTTCGCGCTTCCTCACTACGGCCGCTACCCTTGCTACGCCTGGCGATGTTGACTACAACATTCTTACGGGTAACAACCGCATGAAGCAGAGACCTATCGGTGACTTGGTTGATGCGTTGACCGCCAACGGTGCGTCCGTTGAATACGTGGAGAGCAAGGGCAGTCTGCCTCTTAAGATCGCCGCCTCTGGCGGATTCGCCGGAGGTAGAATCAACCTTGCTGCCAAGGTTTCATCGCAGTATGTGTCTTCGTTGCTTATGTGCGCTCCTTACGCCAAGGAGCCGGTTACCCTTAAGCTGGTGGGCGGTAAGCCCATCTCGCAGCCCTACATCGATATGACCACGGCGATGATGAGATCCTTCGGCATCGACGTCCAAAAGTCCACCACTGAGGAACACACCTACCACATCCCCCAGGGACGCTATGTCAACCCTGCTGAGTATGTGGTGGAGAGTGATGCTAGCTCTGCTACCTACCCTCTGGCCATTGCTGCCCTGACTGGCACCACCTGTACTGTCCCCAACATTGGTTCGAAGTCTCTGCAGGGTGACGCCCGCTTCGCAGTGGAGGTTCTGCGCCCTATGGGCTGTACCGTGGTGCAAACTGATACCTCGACCACTGTTACGGGTGCTCCCGGTGGTGCCCTGCGTCCATTGCCCAATGTGGACATGGAGCCCATGACTGATGCTTTCCTCGGAGCATCAGTGCTGGCAGCCGTTGCTCGTGGTGAGGGTTCGAACCACACGACTCGCATCTACGGTATCGCAAACCAACGTGTGAAGGAATGTAACCGCATCAAGGCCATGAAGGATGAACTTGCCAAGTTCGGCGTCGTCTGTCGTGAGCATGATGATGGGCTTGAGATCGATGGTATCGACCGGGCGACTCTCCGCCAGCCTGCTGGTGGTATTTTCTGTTATGACGACCACCGTGTGGCTTACAGCTTCAGTGTCCTTTCTCTTGTAACTCCTCAGTCGACTCTGATCCTGGAACGTGAGTGCGTCGGTAAGACCTGGCCCGGCTGGTGGGATGCCTTGAAGCAGTTGTTCGGTGTTAAGCTTGAGGGTAAAGAGCTCAAGGAAGAAGAGGTCTTAGCTCTCACGCAAGCCGAGAAGTCCAGCGCATCTGTTTTCATCATCGGTATGCGTGGTGCGGGCAAGACTACCAGTGGACAGTGGGTTGCGAAGACTCTGAACCGACCCTTCGTGGATCTGGATACCGAGCTTGAGAAGACGGAAGGCATGGCAATTCCCGAGCTTATCAAGCAACGCGGCTGGCAGGGCTTCAGAGACGCCGAGCTCAATCTTCTGCAGCGCACCCTGAAAGAACGCGCGACCGGATACGTGTTCGCGTGCGGTGGTGGCATTGTCGAGATTCCAGAGGCTAGGAAGTTGCTCACTGACTACCACAAGACCAAGGGCAATGTTCTGCTCATTCTGCGTGACATCAAGCAGGTTATGGACTTCCTTCAAATAGATCGTACCCGCCCGGCCTATGTTGAAGATATGATGGGTGTGTGGTTGCGTCGCAAGCCCTGGTTCCAGGAGTGCAGCAACTTGCAGTACTTCAGTCAGACGGCGAGCACTGGAGGTCTCGCTCGGGCGTCTGAAGATTTCAGACGTTTCCTGAAGACCGTTACCGGAGAGATTGACAGTCTCGATATCATCAAGCGTAAAGAGCACTCGTTCTTTGTCTCTCTCACCCTCCCTGATCTGCGGTCAGCGAGCGACATCCTGAAAGAAGTCTGTGTCGGCTCTGATGCAGTGGAATTACGCGTCGATCTGCTGAAGGACCCGGCCTCGGATGACGAGATTCCCTCGGTCGACTATGTGGCCGAGCAGATGTCGTTCCTTCGTAGTCAGACCTCACTTCCTCTGATTTTCACTATCCGTACCAAGAGTCAAGGTGGTCGCTTCCCCGATAACGCCTATGACGAGGCGAGAGAGCTCTACCGTCTTGCGATCCGGTCTGGTACCGAGTTCGTAGACCTGGAGATCGCTTTTCCTGATGATTTGCTGCGCTCGGTCACGGAATCAAAGGGCTATTCCAAGATCATTGCCTCTCACCACGACCCCAAGGGAGAGCTTGCGTGGGGCAACATGTCCTGGATCAAGTACTACAACCGCGCGCTTGAATACGGCGACGTGATCAAGCTTGTGGGTGTTGCTAAGACCCTTGACGACAACACTGCTTTGAGGAAATTCAAGCAGTGGGCCGCAGAGGCACATGATGTTCCTGTGATTGCCATCAACATGGGTGACAATGGACAACTCAGCCGTATCTTGAACGGTTTCATGACTCCGGTGTCTCACCCCAGTCTCCCGTTCAAGGCTGCTCCGGGCCAGCTCTCTGCGACCGAAATCCGCAAAGGGCTATCTTTGATGGGCGAGCTCAAGCCTAAGAAGTTCGCACTCTTTGGAACTCCGATCTCCCAGTCTCGATCTCCGGCTCTTCACAATACGCTTTTCGCCCAGACGGGTCTCCCTCACGAGTATGGCCGTCTAGAGACGGCCAACGCTGAGGACGTCAAGGATTTCATCCGCTCTCCTGATTTCGGAGGTGCCTCGGTCACGATCCCTCTGAAGCTGGACATCATGCCATTGCTGGACGAGATTTCCTCTGACGCTGAGATCATCGGCGCAGTGAACACTATTGTGCCCGTCTCTGCTGGTCAAGACAAGCCTACTCATTTGATTGGTTACAACACGGATTGGCAGGGGATGACGCTGTCCCTTCGCAACGCTGGTGTGTACGGCTGCAACGGAGATGCCAGTGCCGTGGTCATCGGTGGTGGAGGTACGGCTCGTGCAGCCATCTACGCCCTTCACAACATGGGCTTCTCCCCCATCTACATTGTCGGACGGTCTCCGGCCAAGCTCGAGACCATGGTGTCTACCTTCCCTACTAGCTACAACATTCGCATTGTGGAGTCTGCCGGGTCGCTAGACACGATCCCCAAGGTGGCCATTGGCACTATCCCCGCCGACAAGCCCATCGACGCGGGCATGCGCGAGACCCTGTGCCACATGTTCACACGTGCTCAGGAGGCTGACGCTGACATCGCTAAGTCCGTGGAGAAGGTTCCGCGGGTGCTCCTCGAGATGGCCTACAAGCCTTCTGTGACAACCCTGATGCAGCTGGCGTCCGACGCTGGCTGGCACACAATCCCCGGCCTGGAGGTTCTTGTTGGCCAAGGCTGGTACCAGGTATGATTGACTCTTTAGGGATCCCTGTTTTCTGCGCCGGGGCTGACCAAATTTTGCGTGCTTAGTTCCAACACTGGACCGGTATCTCGCCACTCTACCAAAATGCAAGAGTATGTTTTAATTTAATCGGAGCTGAAAGCAAAGGTCCATTGTAGCTGACACTCTATAACAGGAAGCCGTGATTGGAGCGCCCAGCGCCGATTCTGCATGAAGCACTCTATCTTAGTTCCGAACTTTGGGGAAGGGGGGCGACAAGTTGTCGCTTAACCCCGGAGATCTGGTGCATCTCGCGAGGATGGATCTATGGTGTGCGCACCTCGAAAGTAAAAAGCCTGCATTATTGTTCGGGACTGGTCTTTCACCAAAACACATACAGTTTTGATTATCTCTAGATATGACAGTAATATAGATCAATGACCAATTCCAGTCTGTCACATGGTCTCCTATACTCCCCTGTCTCTCGTTCACCGGTCACCGCTAGAGAAGCGCGCTGCGTACCAGTGTGGATTTCCTCTCCTCTCCGCTCCCTTGGAACTTGCTGCGCCCATCTGTATCCATCAGCACTAGCCCACCAATACCAGATGGTGTCGAGTAGAAGAGAAACGAGGACATGAGTCACGTTGACACCTACTTTCTCACGATGGTCACGAGACATACAACGTGACCAATTGGTTGAACTTAGCGTGATACAGAGTGTAGTGTACAGTACATGGTCTACTCGGAGTGGGTTAGAGAGCCAAAAAGTCGACCCACAACTGGAAGCGGGGTAAGAAGTTGTTGGATGGGATGTGTGCAGTACCATCTTCTTCGACACGTGTCCTTGCTACTCAGAACGGTCTCCTCAATTCGAACTAAGTAGGACCCATCATGTTTGAGACAATCCGCGGAGCAGCAGGACAATGTCCTTGTACTGCACTGTACATGATTTAGTAGAAAATGCACATGTATCTCGGGTAGGTATGAGGGGGAAAAACATATACAGTATACGTACTGTATACTATTAATAGCACCCACCCATGAGGTGACTTGCCCACCTGTAACTTAGGAAGGTAGTTGGTAACTTACGGCCCTCGTACTCGGTACCATTACTTTTTCCTTTGCGATCAGACGACCATTTTCTGTTCTCTGTAAGCGAACAGAAAACAACCTGATTTCCCATGCTCTCGTGGAGAGCACAAAAAGATCTAGATCAGGCTTTTGAAAATAGATTGTCGTGCGAGTTATCTATTTGCGAACCGATCAACATACCTATACCTACAGTCTGACAGTGAATAAAAAAAGGTCTAGATGTTTGAACTCTGGAGGGTCCGTCCGTCCGTTCGTGGCCCCCGGAATCTAGACCGCGACCGGTCGGGAAAAGGTGCGAGTCCAGAGTCCAGACCCTTTCGCCGTGGTTTAGATTAGATGCATGCAATCTGATTTCTGATTTCTGCGCGGAGATATTATTCATGCGGGTTGTGGGTGTGTGCTGCGCACTTCCTTGTTGCATGGTGTGATGGTCTAGATTGTGTGTGTTTATGTTTTGTTGGGGAGGGTCTTGTGAGTGAGGACTGTACGTGAGTAAGTGTGGGTGGGTGGGTTGAGGTATGCACTGCTTGTATCTTATGTTCACTATGTAGTTGAAGTCTGCGTTCGAGTCTAGAAGGAGAAACTGCGTGAGAACTGAGGATATTATCGACTTGCTGATATCTATTCCAGTATCAATGCTCAGTCCAAAGGATGGGTGGGTGAAGGAACGTTCAATCCAGCTTTTTATGTACTGTACACTCGGTAGGTCTAGTATGACAAGTTTATCAACGCCACCACCACCACCGACACACTTTATCTGATTTCGATCGCTATGAGACACCAGCATAGACCACTGCTGAAGGGACGATAAGAGAAATCCAGTTCCGACCGAACAATTGGCGGGGTAAAGTCTTCCTCCATCGGGGACAAATCTTCCGTCGTACCCTATTTTTTGTCTCATTGACGAGGAGGGTATTACGAGATCTGATTCAGTTTTGGTTTAGTTTTGTTATGTTGTGACTATCGTGTTCGATACTAGAAACATCGAGTGGAATCTGGATCATATCTGACATTGTTTGTCGTGTCACCTGAGACATTCCTTCCCATCCTGTTAGGTAATGAAGGACTATCGAAAGACATTGACTGCAATTGTTAGGAGTAGACTACTAGCGAGAGCGGTTCAAAATCGATCGGTCGGTCGGTCGGTCAGTCGGTCGGCTGGTCGGTCGAGAACGTCTCCGCCCCCATGGAAAAATGTACTGTACAACTCACAATCAGCTACACTACCTTAGTAGTGGTAGTAGTCTGCGAGCGACCGCTTGCTCAGCCTCTCCAGTGAGATAGATCTAGATGCCAATATATTTTTTTCCCGGAGTGTTGTGTTACATATCGCAAGATTTTTCGGTGAAGGGGGAGGGGGACATGCAATAGTTCTGTGCAACCTTCTACTGTACATCGGCAAGGAAGCGCGTGCCGTGATGCCGGAGATGGGGGAGAGGGGGGGAGCCCACTGTGCCACGCCCGCCAGGACTCCCAGGAGCCTGGTCTTGCTTGATCTGCCGGGCCGATGAATGACCCAACGACTACGTGAGACCACCGATTGACTTTGATAGGAACACTGGCTCGCGGGACGACAACTACCATTGTAGGGAAACTATTTCCTACGTATCTGGATCCGCGGGATAAGTTGTCTACGAGCAGAATACCTCGTACTCCAAAACTACATGTTTTCTACTTTGTTGTCGGCGACGTGGATTGGGAAAAAGTTTCTTCAGTATCGCATAATGATGATGACTCGATGCTGGAAAACCCTCGACGTCGAGGTAGACAGAGAGGGCTTAGATCCTGCTTCCTGCTGCGACGGCGCTGAGAGATCTCTTGGAGCTAGCGAAGAAAAATTTTTCTCTTTCCCTTCCATGTCGCTACTGGCTGAGGGTAAAGTTTTTTTGGAAGTTTGAGTACTCAGTAGCTCGTTCGGTCTATACTACCTTGTGATAGGCGATGCAAGATACCTACAAAACGGTTTTCCTCCGTCTGGGCCGAGCATCCAGCCAATGGACTGGCGGGATTGCTGCAGCCTGCGACAGCACTCATGGAGAGGGCAGATTTTTCATCTCAGCTGCACGGACCCCGATTCAGTCATCGTGGCCCAATTTTAGCAGGATTCTAGAAAGACACCAGAAAAACTCTAAGCGCGCGCCGGAGGGGCCGACTGTCCACTAGTCCTGTTTTGGGATGGTGGGTGAAAAATAAACCGCCTGTATGAGCCGAAGCCCTTCCTTGTCGGAAGGCAGGGTTGCGTGCGTGTACAGTACGGATAATACGGAGTACGGCGTACGGTGTTCCGTTAGGCCCAAACTTACACCTCAGGCTGCCGCATCCCCGACCAGGTAGACTAAGGTATTATTCAGCATGGGTCATCGGAATCCACTTTTAGGGACAATCAGAAAAGGGAGCGAATCCTTTTTCCTTACCGCGGAGATCGGCACCATCCTGTCCCCCCCCTCCTCCTTAGTCCCCTACCCTACCGAGGCCCCACGAATAAGCTGCCATTTCATCGGTGGCTGTGGCTGTGTCTGGACGCATGACCAATCACGTCTGCTGTTCTATACCCATTGCTGCAGGGGTGCGAGGAATTTGGGGGGGAGGGATGATGGAAGGAAAAAAAATCTCTGCTTCTCTGCATTAGTGTAGTGTCCGTTCGCCCTACTGGGTTTGCGAACTAATGTCGAAACGGGAGCAAGGAACATGTGGCAGGCAGGGGGGGAGTTGGTGTGAAAGGGAAGAGTTTGCCAACCCGATGAGTATAAGGTGCTGACTCTTGTGATAATTCCGCACCAATAAGAATATTTTTTTGTTTACCCTCCAGGGGCATACATACTCTCGTTGATGAAATTTCCAGTTTGTACTGTTACGGTTTCGTAGTTTCTTGAGGGGAAGTTGTTTTTCTCGTGCATGCAGTTTGAGTTTTCTTATCGCTTGTCGCAAAACACTTGCGCATATGGGAACTTATCCGGCTCTCTTGGGGTTTTTTTTTTTTTTTTTTTTACTTTTGCTTTGCCTTTTCGGCTCATCTGTCCGGCAACGTGGGCTCATTCTGAATGGCATGACGGGGAGGATTTATACTTTTTGATATCGACTTTTAGACTCTCGTGCAAAATCCCCAACTTGGGGGAGGGGAGGAAAGGGCTCAGCTGAGTTTTGTGGCTTGCGGCCGCTATGCTGGACCATCTACCGTACCTACACTAACTTACCTAGCTACTACTCACGGGCTCTCTTTTCCCCAGAGAGAGAGCGAGAGCAAGACCCGGTAGTATGTACCGCCCACTGGTACCCGTTCTCCAGACCCGCCGGGTCCCATCACCCCTTCCCCCATTGTGTAGTCCAGCACTGTGCACCATCCAGCCAGGGCTAGATACCTTAGTAGTACTCTTCGGGTCGAATACGATCGGAATTCTTCCCTTTCCTGGAAAGCCTGCCTGTAGGCGTTTCCGACTGGATTACGCGGCGGTACTGGGGGGTATGTAATGCGCAATCGAGGGCTGAGCCCCAGGCAGACGGGTTTCCCAGCTCGATGAATGGCTTTTCCTTTTCTGAGAAGATATACCGGTGCTCGCATTGGGACGGTGTGATTTGCCACCGCAGTTCAGCTGTCTCGGTACGGAGCAAGCACGCGGTGGGTCGAATGGCTGGCTCCGTGCCCCGGGGGAATGGGAGATCTTGACATTGGACGAAGCAGGAAGCTCTCTGACAGCAGCAGCATTGGACGTGCTTCGAGCATGAGTGGAGCCGGACGGGCCTTTTGACTCTTAAATCGTAGCGGCTTGCAGCGTGCGAATCAAACGGCAGGGCTTGTGTCTTATGTCCTACAGTGTGGAGTGATGTCTTGTCTCGCATGAAGTAGTCCATGGGGCTGCCACGAGCTGGACTAGCAAAAATACGTTGAAGGGTAGAGATGCGACCACCAAAAACACGAGGAGACATGTCCACTTCCCAGTTTTCCTTTCCTGCTGATCGAATGATCCCAAAAGCATGTGAATGTTGCGGATTGAGCAAGTCATTGAAGATGTTTTTGAGTCAGGAACAGCCAACCCATGCGCCACATCATGTCATGTCACCTCACACCTTGACACACATGACGAGCTCCAATAACGTCCTCCTATCTCCAGTGTATATCTCGTTGTAGGGAGAAAAATGTATTTATAATCGTACGACGTCCCTGGTAGTGATATGTGATTCTGTTTGCAGTGAATCTCATCCATGACTCATATGTAGACTGTAGAAAGGTGGACTAAGGGTGACCCATTGGGACTGTGGCTTGTCTCCGAAGGGCCGATATAGGAGATCTGATTCATTGTGACCACCTCAGTAAGACTAGCATCTCAACAGAACCACGGTAAGCAAATACAGGTGATACTATCAGACAATGGACAAAAAGAAAAACAACCCCCAGCAAAGTTATCAGCTGATACGATCACGCATAGGACCGATGAGGTTCTTGTTGCATAGCCCGACTTGCATCGCACCGGCCGAGAAAGTGCAGCGCTCGGTTCAGAGATGCCGCAAGAATCAGGCTACTAGAGCGGGCAGGGCGAGAACACCCGAGGCCGGGGTAACTAACGTTTTGGTCTTGTTCGGTGGTGTGTGCAACATCAAATCAGTTAGTCAGCCATTATTGCCAACTTACCGGCTGCGGCCTGTATTTCGTCCGAGTCTCCGCCGACCTGCAGAACTCAAACGACTCAACCGAAAGGCCGAACCGGCTGGAATACTCATCAGCCATTATAAATGATGCATTAGCAACAGGAAAGAGAATGCAGTAGCGCTCACTGGAAAAGCGTCCTGATGACCAAGACCGTATCCCCAATTCAAGTTCGTCCGTCCGTGGAGTTACTAGTTTACTCCGGTTGACTCTTGAAAGAACTACGTAGAGACCACCAATTAGTGATATTACTAATAATGAATAACTTGACTAATACACGGGATGCACACTAGCCACAAGCATTTGTGGCGCAGCTAAGGTGTGGCTCTCACAGACTTCCCCATCGCGAGTCAATACCTACCTAATCATAGTGGAGATCGACTCTCCTTGGGCATCTGCTGGCTGCAACCAGCTAAGCAAGGCGCTGATGATAGGGCATGGATCTTCACCCATTGACATGCGCTGTAATCTTCAACTGTCGAACATGTCATCTGTAAGGGTCCGCTCAAAGAGATACACGAGATCGGATCGACCACGGCATTTTCGTTGAGTGGATTGGTTGGTTAAGTAGGTTACTTTGTTGTCTCTGAGGAATGCGTGTGGCTTAGCCATGACCACTCGAGCGTTGATTGGTTGCCCTAGCGTGCTCCTCGGTCGCTATTATCAGGCGCAAGCAGAGAAAAAATTTGAAACAGACACATTATTGTTCCCTACGCTAGCCGAAGAGGAGGGTGGGTGGGAAAAATCCTCCATGATTGTCTTTGTCTTTTTTTTTGTTCTCCCAAGCTGAGAGTCATCGCACTAGCAGCCTGACTCAATGTTAATCATTCACTAGAGCGTGGATTCTGGTATGATCTGGGCTTTACCCTCCCCGAAGAGAATCCGGTCACCCGGTCTAGCTCCTGAGTCGTAGCGTAGGTCAGCCAGATGGTCTTAGACTGTCAGTCAATTGTGGCTTGTATGCAAGTACTAAGGGACTAAGGTACTAAGATTGTAGTGTCAAGAACGCGCGAGTCGTGAGAAAAATGGGAAAAGTTTGGGTCGACTGGGGGTGGGAACTGCCTAAGGCCGGACTAGCCAGCGAGTCCCCCCGGACAGCCATGCAGATCGAGTCCGACTAAGTGGAAAAAGTGGATGCATTCGTTTCGGCCGCATGACGGTACGAAAGCGTAATATTACCATACATTATTACCAGACCCAATCCTGAGGATCGGCGGACGGCCGGGATAAGCGTGGGAAGGATGACTGTCGGCGATTGCCGTATGTAGTTTCTACCTTAGTCTGCTCTCCTTCCTGCAGGGCTAAACGTCATTCTCATACAAAAGGAATGAACCCTCCACCACCTAAACCACCCCCCCCTCTTAAGCTATGAGTATTATTCACCCACCCATCATCTTCTTATATATCAATCAGATATTTATTATCCCCTCAAGTCGCCTCCCATATCCTCTCTGATTTCAACTTTGATCTGTTACTCTCTCAATCATCTGAACATTCATACTACCCTCAATACTCAACTGGTATCCTTGCTCATACATAGTAAGTCTACCCGCATACTTACGTCGACTATTCTCTCTACCTCTCCCTCCTACTTCTCTTCCTCTCATACTTCCTTGACCTGATCTTTGCATCATTGGATCAAGATCCAACTAACCATCCATTTGTGAACCTTAGGTCTCTCATCTCAACCACGGTTCCCCACTCAACTGAGCCTCTCGATCGGTTTCTCTCAGCCTGAATCGGTCTCCCTCTGCCCGACGTTTCCAGACGCTTCGACCTGTTTAACATCTACTTTTGACTCTGGACCATCCGCTCAAACTTCCAACTCTCTTGTTGACTCATTCTTCTGATTGCAATTGCTCAGCAAGTCTTTCTAACACCAACGATCTTGGCCCCTTCGAGACTTTTGGGGGCCCTTGTGCCAACTTATCTTCATTAAACTCTCGACGTCTCCGGGTGGCAAACCCACCGTCTCCAGTCGGCGTCATCCCTACTCTGACGTCCAACCACGACACAAGCAACATTATGTTCATGCACCCTGCCGTACGTAAGGGTTTTATCACTGAACCAACTTCTGTCCCGTTCTACAACCACCAAGAGCCCGTTTGCATACAAGACGACCAGTTCCTACCTGAATACTCGCAAGAGGCCGTGTACCATCAGCCACGACTTCAAACTCCTTTCCAGTACCACCCGGACTTGCAGTTCATCTCTCCGCCGTCTTCCGCCCCTTCCTCTCCCACCTCCTCTCCCGCCTCGATCGCCTCTCACTACCCAACCACGGCGGTGGCCGCGGATTACTCTTCTGCTGTCTTTGACAGCCACTCCTTCGAGGCTCCTTCGATGACACCTTCCTCCTCGTATAACCCCTCGATCAGCTACCAGCACTCGGCCTCACCACAATCTCAGCCCTACTTTTTCCACCAACCATACTACGACGACAACGCGCAAATGCTGGCGCAGCACTCCGCTCCGAACAACCACGGCTGGGATGGCAACTTGCAATTGTTGAACCCTGCTCGTATGCAAAACAACCTGTCGCGCATGCCCCAGTTTAACAACGACTCCCAAATGAAAGTTGCCTCCAGTCCGTCCTCTAGTCGATCAGCCCCAGCAGGCAGCTCTTACCAGAGGTCAAATGGCCAGTCGAAACCACTTCCCACCCCATCCCAGACTCCCGTGCAGAACTCGATTCTTGCAGGGTCGTTCCAGGATGGCAACACAGCTGACGCAGAGTTCGCTATGAGGCGGGCTGTTATGGAGCAGCAGCAGCACCAGCAGCAGAAGCACCAGCAGTTGCACCAGCAACAGCAGCAATATCAGCCTCGCCACCAGCACCAGTCCAGCGATTACTCGGTGTCAACTGTGAGCCAGAACTCACCAGTTACCCCTCAAACAGGCTTCGAAGATCTCGATGAGTCTTCGAAAACCACCAATGGTGAGAACCGGTTTCCTGGCGTGGACAAGTGGATGGATGATTACTTACATCTCGATTCACTTTCAGACTACACACACCAGAATCCGAACAACCTGACGATTGGCATTCCTAAGCTCAACCGTACCATCTCTGATATCTACCAGGATGAGCTGTACAACCCAGCCTTGATGCCCACGCCACAGGTCCCCAAGCAGTCTGCTAATCAGCAACAAAACATGCTGCTTGCTCCGACATACCGCAACGTGATTGCTGATAGACTGCAAGCTGCTAACCAGGGTCACCTTTCTGCACGGTCACAGTCGCCTATGGGGAGCATGCATCGGGACCGCTCTCCGTTCCGGCAGAACTCCCCCATGGCTGCAGAGTACAACCACGCTGGTTTGCAACACCCTCAGATGGCGACCAGCGTGCCTGGGTCACAGAATGGTGTGAGCATCGCCCCTACCTCCCAGAATGAGCCCAAGACGATGTCTCCCAAGGATGCGCTGCTGGACTACAATGAAGGCGATGACTCCGATCTACATGCCCCTGGAATGCCGCTGTTCCCCCCCTCATCCCAGCCCGATTTCAATCTGGGCGATGCGCTGGGTGGATTGCGCCGGGAAAGCTCCTCTTCCTACCAACCCACCCAGAACTTCACTTCTATGGAGTCTTTCCCCGCGCAATATGCCGCCCACATGGCTGGACAGCAATATCCCTTCGGCCAGCAGCAGCAGCAGCAGCAAAGTTCTCGTCAGGCGCAATCCCAACAGAACAGCCTCTTACACCAGACTCCTGAATTCCCGGCCTCGTTGCCCCGCTTTGAGTCCACTGGAAGCGAGATTCTTCCCACGACCGAAATGACATCTCCTCAGGGTCAGTCCAGAATGGCCCTCCAGTCTGTCAAGGCGGAGATCCCTCGACCTGAGAACACCTCGTCGGACAGTGGGACTTACACCTGCACCTATCACGGTTGCACCCTACGGTTTGAAACGCCTGCCAAGCTCCAGAAGCACAAGCGTGAGGCGCATCGCCAGACCACTCCTGGTGGACATCTTATCGGGCGTGACAACTCGGCCCGGAACTCTCAGGCTGGCCCTCACAAGTGCGAACGCATCAACCCGTCTACAGGCAAGCCGTGCAACTCCATCTTCTCTCGCCCCTACGATTTGACCCGCCACGAGGACACGATCCACAATGCTCGCAAGCAGAAGGTTCGGTGTCATCTGTGTACGGAGGAGAAGACCTTCTCCCGCAACGATGCGCTCACCCGGCATATGCGCGTGGTGCATCCTGAGGTTGATTGGCCCGGCAAGCAACGTCGCAGAGGCAGAGAGTGAAGCTCTAGTGGATCTGTTCTCTACAGCGCTAGTGGATATGGTTCAGTCCCCACGATCGTGACAAACAGCGAACGACAAATCCCCTGTCTCTGGGAGGGGGGGGGGGGGGAAAGCTGTTCCACCGTCCCGAATCGTGGGCGACGGAGCTTGAGTCAAAATGACGCGCGAAAGCCTCCGACGTCATAGACTAGACCCGAACGGGTAACGACTCGCTAACGGGTCCGGATCGACGGATGAGATTTCCGCTTTGGGCGAGAGCCCTCCTGAAGCATCGATCATGACATCATCGGGTCTCGAATTGGACCGATAAACCGCATGTGAAGTCATCCAATTGTTCTTTTCCATCTATCGCATTCAATCGTTTGATGACGTATGTTTCTCTTTCTGTGTTCATGAGCCAGCCTTTGGATTTTTTTCTGCATCTTTAGATTTCTGTTTATTGTCATTGGGTCATGGGGGAAATGGTTGCATCAAAAGAAGCAATTTGTTCATATGGGATGATGATACTGTGATTAAACTAGTCACGCTTGCGCAGCTGGATCTGTTCAAATTTGTTTTGTTTTATTCCATGCGAGGGATTGGAATCCCTTGATCATGCTGTACTATACTCGACTGTGTACGATTGTTACGTTTATGATATGTCGCACGTCTTTTGTTGGTGATTGCGAGGTTTTTTTGCATTGGGATGGCATGGTGTGGGTTTTCGGCTTGGGATGCGAAAATGTCCATATGCACGAATAGCTTGTACAATAGCTTTGTTTGGTTGTTTGGTGGAAAATGTACAAATATGATTACCCCACGAGTCTCGTTCGCTTATTCTGTAGAGAGTGGATTTTACTCTTGTGCGTAGATGAATACGAGAGCCACTGATGACTCGTCAGTCCACTTGGGTTCGACGATAGATGACCCATCCATGCCTCATTCTATCAGGTAAGGCCGAACTTATACCTTGAAGCACCCGGAGTCGGAGTCACTGCCTAATCATGACTGCCGGTGTCATTCATGGGCAGGAGAAGCTGAGCTGAGCTGAGCTGAGCTATGAAACCCGGGTGCTCCATGCACACACACACACACGCCCCTCCGTCACTACAGTGACTGACTGACTGACTACTGTACCAAACCACCGCCGGCCGGGACCTGCATTTGGGTAGGGCTACACAGATGAGAACAAAGAAAACAGAAAACACACAGAAAAAAACAAAACGAAACGAGAACCAAACAAAAAACAAGAATTAAAAACAAAACACCCCGGGAGAATTTCGGTGTTGCGGCAGGCAGGCAGGCAGGCAGGCAACATGCTAAGCTGTCTTGTGTCTGATGTATGAGGTCCCGAGTACCGTCTGTACCCTCGCACTGTACTGTACCTAGTGACCGACCTGTCTGTCACCCCCCATCCCCCCCCAGCAATACAGAGTAAGTTGGTTGGTTAAGGTAAGGTAAGTATGTCATCATTCCGTTACCTGTTTCGGAGGTTGTCAATACATGGAATTTCGAGGGTTAGAGCAAGGCAGGATCAGCTCGAATTCAAGGCAATCTACAGGCAAAATGACAGAAGCAAGCTTGGGTTAGGAAATTGAACTCCTCAGATAGGTTATAGATCTAGAGTTGAGGGATTGATGGGCGGGGGGGGGCATGATCGAGGACGTTTGGGGGGGACCGCGGAGAGGGGGCAGATGATTCTTTAATCTACATCATACCTACATAACATCACACATTTTCAGGGTAATTTTTAGGGACTGGTGGTTCTTGATTTGTGGGGGGGGGCTGTGATCATCTGCCTTGGTTTGGCTGGGGTACATATGTGTGGTTTTTGCTTGTGTGTGTTAGAGAGGGTGAAAGGTCTTGGCTTTGTTAATTATGATGAGGATGGGTGTTGAAGTTGATATGTGATGTTCGTGCTTGAGTTTGGGGATGGGTGTTTTGTTGGTTGTTTGGGCTGTGTTTGGGTGGGTTGGGAATTGCTGGTGTTTGCTGTACTGTACGCATTCTATGCTTTACCTTACGTTTACGCTTGCGCTTACACTGCAAAGGACTGTGGACTGTGGACTGTGGACTGTAGATGTAGGTATCCATGATGAGTTGGGTACTTACCGAGGTAGGCCGCCTCCTTCCCACTTAGCATGTACATTCGATGGTGCTGGCGCCATGTGCGGTGCAGTGGGCTTGGGCTTTAACTCATCTAGGTCAATAGTGAAGTGGGTTCTCCGCCATCCCGACTTCCTGGACAAAAGACGTTGGAGACGAAGCTAGAGCTAGAGCTAGAGCTAGAGCTAGAGCTATGAGATAGTCGTTCCTGTGGGGAATGTTCGTACTTACTCGGTAGGTAGTACTTTTCTCTGACGTGCCGTCACGATGGAGCAATCAATCACTGCGTCCTCGCCTCTCTTTTCCACCTCCCTTGTTGCCCGTGTGTCCCCCCCCCCCCATTGACGAATAGGATGAGATCCGTTCTGCAAGTAAGGAGGGGGCATTGTGATGTACAGTACAATCCACAGGCGGGGTTACTCGAGGGTCTTTTTCAGAAGGGTAATGATCTTACAGACACGAGTCAGTGCGGTGGGTTCTGTTGCTCGCTCAGTAAGGGCAGTAGAGTACTTTCGACATCGGACGGGACGGGACGGGGGGAGGAAGAGGGGGGAAGGGTGGAGGATAGCCTCTGAGCTCATGAGGGTTTAGGGTCGGTAGGGGTTGTGGATGCGAGTCAAGTCATCTCGAACTAATATGTACATCATCATGGGAGTGGAGAATGGAAACGAACGAACCATCGTTCCCCCTCAAGAAGCGTTGGACAGGGTGGATTGGGGGGTGGGGATGACGATGCATGGGTGAGTGGGTTGTTGCATGGTCGATTGCCGCGTCTACTTACTCGTTCGGGGTGGAGATCATCGCGGATGATGGAAATATGGCCTTATTTCCCCGTGTCTGACGCTATTATTGCATTGTGGGAGCCCTCGAGGGAGGGAGGGGGGGGGGCGCGCCAGGGGGGGCGCATGTTTGGTTTGGATGGGCGGTTGAAGGAGCCAAGATGGGTAGAGATAGGTAGTTTTGGTGCTTAGACTGCTGCGTATCTTGAGCTGGAGTTCTGGTCGCGCTACTAGGAGTGCCTGTATTATACGGATGTCGTTGTAGGTCGGTGAGGTGCAGAGTGCAGAGTAAGAGTGAACAGACAAGGTTCGATTTTGTAACCGTCTCGCCAGGAGGTACTCTCCCCGTTGGGGGGTCAGCGATTGGAGGAACCAGGAACTGTATTTCCGAGGCCGTTTCTTCGGAGAACGTGCACTTCATCGTACCTGGTCAGATGGTACATTCCATAGATACTATAGTCGTCGCGGGATTGAGTCATTTCAGGTTTATTCTCGATTTCTATCTAATAGAGCAATTGTAGACCACTTCACTTCAAGCACGGCGCTCAAGTACAGCAATGCCATCAATCTAGCCTGCATACATACAGACATATATCCTCCTGGCTATGTACAGCACCGTACCCGGATACCCAACCACCACCATGACATAACTTCTACACCACATACCACCCACGAGGGAGCAAATCCCTACACCATGCAATATAAATCTCATACAAGCCACAAATCGCATGATGGTATACGGATCATGTTGATCTCGTCCGTCAACCCATTACACGTACAGTAATGACCTTACCAGGTATGAATGAGGAGTGTAAGGCCCCCGTTCTCTGTGCGATCTGGTCCACTGATCCGAGACCATACATGAATCAAATTCATCATTATTCGGACAACAATGTCGATCATGACACCATGGCGCATTGCTGGCTGACCCCCCCATGATGGATGCGGTCAGTACTAGGTATGTGGTCACGGTCGCCCTGTTAGGACTTAACTTCTAATGCCATTCCAACAACTCGTCTCGATGGTGTAGTTGGTTATCACGTGGGTCTCATACTACAGTATGACTCGGAAGATCACTTCTGGGCGATCCCAAGGCCGGGAGTTCGAACCTCCCTCGGGACATCTCTTTTTGTTTGCACTTCAGTTTTGGGCCCCGTCTTGCAGATGAATGGAATGATAGTTTTGTGGTGTTTTTGATATCGAGCTACAGGTGATATTCGCGGAAATTGACAGTTGCATCTTATAAGCATATAAAACCCGCTATGGGGCTCATGTTAGAACTTACGATCCTGGGTTACTTGAACAAACCCATGCCGTCTGGATATTAGACTGGGTGGATGCAAGGCCAATGGAGATCCAGCCATCCTCCCCTGACTTGAAGAGCAACGCAAGAACTACTTGTATATCATGTATCGAAGCATGACAGCCAGGCTCTAGTAGGCCACTATCATATTTGTCATCTTCGCCGTATTCAATCGGAAGATAGGCACACGGAGGACGGTGAGGTGTCTACGGAGCCTGGGATTGGGTCTCCAGCTCAAGTTTAAGAGCACCGACTCCTGAGCACGTATGCTGGCCTGACCATTTCGTATACCGAGACTACTCTCTTATCCATCATCCTGGTCTGTCTCGAGCATGTGCCACAGCATGTATCGGAGGCAGGCGACTGTGTCCGCTCTCGGGATCATAGGGCGCCTCAATATGCATGTTCTGACTCGGAAATTCATGATACTGTTAACGACCGAACCAATGGGCTCTCGCCAGTATCGTCCGACATGTCCATGAGCGTGAAAAAAAAGGCAGTCCCGTAGGAACTGAGATCAGCGCATCTGTAGACAGATTCTCTCTTACCTGGTGTGCTTGCTCGCGTCAAGCGGTCAACGGCAACCCGGTCTTCACCCAACGTGCCATGATATTCGCATTTTGTACCGAGGCGGCCTGTGTCTGGTCTGGGGTGTTCACACAGTACCATGATTCAGTCGGTGCACCTCATGGTGAGCACCGTAAGCACCCGCCTGTGCAGCGGTTAAACACGCATACTCACCGTCTCGCGAATTGTGTAGCCCCCACAAACCCTACCCCCGAATGTGACCTAGGCAGGAGTATGTCATCCCCCAGCTTTGAGTATCGTCCAAAAATTTGCCTCAATGTTTCTAGCATCGTTTCATGTGGGCATGAGCACTATGGGCATCATGTGCAGACGGGGCAACTTTTCGGTGCGATACGCCGCTTCCAGCGGGTGTGGGCCATCTAGTGACTGGCCGTTACGCCGAACTGCCTTTGCAGAATCGCTTGTGGTATTGCTCGTGATTCCGAGGGCCTGGGTGTATTCAACAAATTATCTGGTCATACGATCAGCAGACCGAAGGATTCCAGGTCCCCCGACCGGCCTTGTCCGTTGCTATATGGATATCCCTTGGTCCAGACTTGATCGCGCCTGTCAGATATCATTCCGGCAGCGGTGCTCTTCCACGAGATTTTGTCGAGATAGTGGCAGGAGAGGGTCAATATGCCAGTCTAGAAATCTCCGGCCGCCGTCGACTTCGTGGAACTGTTTGCGTGTTCGACTTATCGGGTGCAGGACCTATGGTAGCCTTGCAGGATGACAAGTCAGCAGGAATACCGCGTGATCAATCGCGTTACTTCCTGGTATCCTCGTGTCCCCGTGTACATTGTCCTGCCATCGACATCCTAGTTCATACGATGGTCCTCTGACTAAGAGGGATAAAAACTCGTAGATGACTCAGACCCGGGCTCATCACGTTCTGCTGGGCTTGGTAGCAGGGTGCATTCTCATCGAGCCACAATTTGTCTGGCCTTACGCGCGTCCATGTCGGTCTGGGGCGAGCCCTAGGTTAACTAGTGGCAGAGCAGGGTGTTGCGATCCTTGGTGATGCAGTGGTGGGTGTTCACTGTTTCCAGCGATCGTGTATTGCTTGAATTGATCTTCTGGAGTCTGCTGTGCCTGCCATCGACATGATCGGACTGGGGTTATTGATGTTGATCCAGCTCCGTGGAGTGCGCCTTCTGGAGATTGACCGTCTCTAGCCATTTCAATCTTCTGCTCGTTCTCCCTTTTGCCTCGACTTCTGGCTCTCTCGGTAGTGTAAAACGCGTCTTCCTTCGGGTCTGCTGAGTGGTTGCTAGTCCTTCTGATCTCGGGTTCAACCTGGGCGGTTGGAATGGGTTGAACCCAGGTTGAACCTGCTAATGGTTTGTTCACTCATTTCTCTGAGGCAGAAAATATCTGGTCGCGTACCTTCCCGTTGATCCATTTGCCGAGCATAGTGATTTTGGGTGTGAGTGCATCTATGCTCTCGGTGCCATCGGATCATATTGGCACGTCGTGGTTCTTCGCTGCCGTACATAGGAGACTCGATGTGTGTTTCAACCGCGAGTGCTTTTCTGTAGATCATTTCTGCGACGCGTAGTATCTATGTCCAGGCCTGTCCTGCGTTATTGAGAAGTTGTCAGGTCGTGTTTTCGCGATGGATTCCTTTGCGACAATTCCGACCCTCGCTATACCGAATCCATCGATATGACGACCCTTTTTTTCGCGTTTTCCAGCCACTTTCACGTGAAGGAGTCTCGATGTAGGGTGTTACTTGGTATGCTGAAACAAGATGGCATTCCCATGTCGTTCGTTGTAGCGGTGGTCTACTGTACGCAGGACGCGTTTGTTCTGACCCGAAGCATGTACTGTACGTCATGAGCTTCCTTGTGATTGTGATGTGCACTGTTTTGTATCCGAGTGAGTACTGGCACCGCCTCATGAGTTTTCCTGTGCGTATCTTGGTCATCCTTGTCCTTTTGCATGCGAGTTCGTTTTCCGTGGTTGTGCAGACCATAGTGCAGCGAGGACTGAGGCGGATGAGCCTGTACTGTATGTAGAGTCGGTGCCAATTCCCACCCAGGCTCGGGTTGAACCCCGGCGGGTTTTCCGCGGGTCCGGGTCGGCGTCGAGTTGAACCCCCTAGCTATCACTCTACTGATGTGCATGATTACACTCTTGAAATCATTGCTACAGTGTTGATTTTGCTTCTGGTGGCTCTTTAGCTCGTGCACACCGGTATTCTATATTTATTTTTGTACATTTCTGCAGTATTGTCCCGATCTGGCGGAGTGTAGGATGGTGTGGGGTCTACTCGGGAGGTCCATTGATATATATTGTAGCATACGACATGTACTTGGAATAAAGTCCTCAGCAATAATACCTGATCCTCCACCACAACATACAGTATTCGAAGCGCGAACGCCACATAACCAGAAAGTAAACAGTCTAATCACAACAAAGCCCCTCGAAAGTAGAATATCGAGCTAGATCAGCGTGGGAGAGGGATATTAATTTTGACGTCGCGTAGAACGTTCAGACTGCAGACCAAGAATCGGACGAATATGATTACAGTAAAACAGGTTCAATAGCATAGAAGCGATATCTCATTACTACACCTACAGCTATATGCCAAGTGATGCTCATGAGCTACGATCATACGAGAATATTCAAATCAACGCAGCACAGAGAGGGTGATGCCTGAGGAGTCAAACCAACAAATTGACAGAGGCCCGCAATCACGCCGCGAAGCGACACGCGTCGCAGCACAACCGAACATGGAAAACGCACAACACAAAAAAGGCCAAAAGGACAGCGACCAAGATCAAGCTACGTAGAGAGACAGGAGAGATGTTGTTTGAGTTCTTTCGACCGTTTGTATTCATATTCGACCGCGTCTTAGGTAGGTCGCGCGATCGTGTGTAGCCTATGGCACCAGCCGGAAGCATAAAGGCCGCTATGATACAGAAATTCAAGCGCGCGCACTAGCAGACCAGTAGTGGACGCGTAAAAGTAAAATAAAGTGCGATAAAGCAAACCCAGACCCATGGATACTTGTAATAAAAAGATCAAGAACACCCCAACGTCCCAGTCATACCATAAACCAACCCGAAAAAGCAACCCGTCGCGTCACTGCTGCGGAAGGACAACTGACGCGCCGACCGCGCAGGATGGCTAAAAAGAAAAGAGCAGGAAAAGAAGAACGCATTTAACCACCGAAACCGTAGAGGGTGCCTGAGGGGAGAGAGCAGGTTAGAATGCGCTGCATGGAGCGGACGTGTTTTGGGGTCAAACTTACGGCCTTGACGCTTGAGAGCGTAGACGACATCGAGGGAGGTGACGGTCTTGCGCTTGGCGTGCTCAGTGTAGGTGACGGCGTCACGGATGACACCCTCGAGGAAGGTCTTGAGGACACCACGGGTCTCCTCGTAGATCATGGCAGAGATACGCTTGACACCACCACGACGAGCGAGACGGCGGATAGCGGGCTTGGTGATACCCTGGATGTTGTCACGCAAAATCTTGCGGTGGCGCTTGGCACCACCCTTTCCGAGACCCTTTCCACCTTTGCCACCTATTGGAAACGCGTCATGTTAGAATACATGATGCAGGAGATGGGATAGTTTATCCCTAATGAGGAATCAGGTCTAAGTGGAAGCAATAGACTTACGTCCAGTCATGTTGACGGTTTGTTCTGAAACGGAATTAGAGTTGAATTAAAGTTGGTGAGGTGATGGGAGGTGGAGATAAAATGGGCGATTTAAGCTGGTGATAGATGTTCAGGGAAGAATGAGGACAGGCTTCCATGGGACGGGGGATTATTTGTATAGCGAAAGGCAGAGGGCGGGGAGGGCGTTGGAATCACACGCTAAGACCCGAGTCAACCAATCAGCGGGCAGGATCCCGGACGGCGGGCTTGATCTGGCCGGCAACGTGACCGAGCAGTGGTGATTCCGCTGCCTCAGACTTGATCTGCCCCGGAATGTCCCCAACCACCGAGATCAACGATCAAAGAAGATCAGAGACATTCTGGCCGATGGCTACCATTCTACCAAGCATTCTGATAGCCCTTCATCCCTTCCCTGAGGTTGAGATCAAAGAGGTGGCAGGGGGGTATTCTAGATGCGTGATCCTGTGATCCTATTGGCTGACGGGCGGGAAGGAACTCGCTTAGCGCAGGACCGCCTTTTCCCTTCCCGCCCGAAACTGCCTGCTGGCCCTTTGATTTTGCCCGCCAAAAGTGAGACCCGAAATCAGAGCTTATGGTGTACTGCTTTCCGATCGATTTTTGGATCAAAGGAAACGGGCGCTAAGGCCACCCTCCATTACTGCCAATTCACTCACCCACCCACCCTTCCCCCCTCACACCTTACTCCCAGATCACTACCCACCCTCTCGCTTACTACAAATACCGCCCCCCACCCACCTCCTCCATCCTTCTTACATCTCCCCAATCCCGTCGACACCTTACCACTTCCATCATCGACAACCATCCACAACTCTATCTTTCCATCTCAAGTCGACTTAATTCATCAAACCTAAACATCTAAAATGGCTAGAACCAAGCAGACTGCCCGTAAGTTCCACTTCGCCTCACTGTCATTGCCCCTTGACCCCAGAGGGGTTCGTCGTCTCGCGTCATGGTCGCGACACGGTTCAATCCTTGACCGCGTCTCACCTCACTCAAAACATCATGCTAACCACTTCGCTTTACAGGTAAGTCCACTGGTGGCAAGGCTCCCCGTAAGCAGCTCGCTTCCAAGGCTGCCCGCAAGGCCGCTCCCTCCACCGGCGGTGTCAAGAAGCCTCACCGTTACAAGCCCGGTAAGTCCTCTCTCACTCCCGAAATGACCACTGGATCATCTCTTCTAATACATTCACTTCACAGGTACCGTCGCTCTCCGTGAGATCCGTCGCTACCAGAAGAGCACTGAGCTCCTCATCCGCAAGCTCCCCTTCCAGCGTCTGGTCCGTGAAATCGCCCAGGATTTCAAGTCCGACCTCCGCTTCCAGTCCTCTGCCATCGGTGCTCTCCAGGAGTCCGTTGAGGCCTACCTCGTCTCCCTCTTCGAGGACACCAACCTGTGCGCCATCCACGCCAAGCGTGTCACCATCCAGTCCAAGGACATCCAGCTTGCCCGCCGTCTCCGCGGTGAGCGCTCCTAGATTCATTTGATCTTCGAATGAGTCTATCTCTGCAACTGGTTGGCTCTTTTATGGGATGGCGATAACGGGGTTTCTTTGCTTTGCTTTTTCATGACTACTGGCGATACATGATGGGTTTTCTTTTGCGAATTTCACAACGGGTCTCTCGGCAAATGGGTTTTGTGATTTCTCTTGCTGCTACGCAATAAATAGTAAGGCTGCCGAATGTTTCTTCGAGCGGCTCTGGGTGGATCGATGATCATGGCGATGCATCCGTCCGAATATGTACATTACAGATGATTTGATTCGAGAGGTGGCTTCCACTGGAAGCGCCACGTCGGATGGCATAGACCGCGAAATGCAGTATCTATGACGATGCAATCCAATCCAGCTTTGTGATTCGCCTAGTGATGATGTTCTATCTCTTCAGCGGTAGACGAAGTCCTGGTCCGATGACAGATGCTTTGTAGTCTGGTGCCTTAAGTGGATTTGTTCATTCCCCATACGGAGTCTGGCGAGCCGCAACCGCGACCGCGCAGAGGATGTAATGTCTGAGGATTCTATGACGTTGCTCAGTAGTGTCTACCTATCCCCTGCAGCATCCCGAATTTACTTCTACGCGCTTGTAGCTATCCTGAACATCACAGCGAATAATCCGCGCTGGCATGAACAGACTTACCTTCCTTCCCCGACTCATAGGGGCTCATCTTAGCCAAATTGCGCGGGGTGTGGCGAAATAGCTCAAAAATAATCTGGCAACTAGTGGGCGACCGACCCTTGGGGAGCCAGCCGGTTGGTCTGTCCGTCCATTCTCAAAGATTATCGAGCCAGGCACAAATTCGCCTGTCTAGTTTTTTTTCTTTTTTCTTTTTTCTTTTTTCTTTTTTCTTTTTCTTTTTCCCCTTCTACCGAGGTTCTGCAGCTTTCGACTTCTGCCAGTAGATTGATGTACGAAGTATTAGGACGGTGCGTGTAGATCGGTCCGGTCTCTGCTGCGGGCGACGATGGCGATGGCGATGGCGATGGCGCTGGGCCGGTTCGGGCGGAAGGGAACGGAGGGGGGTCATTTGGACGGGACGAGTCTAGAAGCGACGGACTGGCGAAGGGAGAAGAGTCATGATGAGATCAAGACGTCTTTAGTGGTGCCTGTATCTAGCACCGTGGAAGAAAATCAGTATCGGCTACTGCGACCGCGAAAAAGGGCTCACCTGAAGGAAGTATCTATCGCCTTTGGAAACGATAGCAGGTCGACGTGGCTGTAGAATAGCACCACCCTTAAGGAGGGCAAGTCGGGGCGAAATTTGGCAGTGTTCGGAAGCGCGACCGTTTCGAGATCATGATATCCCCAGCGTTGCTGAATTGCAAAATCTACGTTGTTGTTATTGTATCGAGGTAGAGTGATGCGTATGATGTAGTAGCAGCAGGAAGAACTCATATTTCTTACCTTCTTATCATGCGAGCAGAGTCTAGAAAATTGACTATACGGGATCTATAGGCCCTTGGTCCAAGCGTCGGCCGAGCTGCCCTGCGCAACTTAGGCTTAGTTAACACTGCACAAGGACGGAGTGACTACGGAGTTCTCCCCACTCTCGCCGGCGCCTCTTATCGATAGTCTAGTCGGTGATCGATTACTGGATTGCCTCAGCCTCACAAAACTTCTTTATCTTACGGAGAAGATTATTTCATTCTTCTGGCTTGTCTTAGAATCTTTGCAGCATATTGATGGTTATAGTATTGGTGCCATGGTAACACTTCGATCGCATTCGAAGCATACTGTTGGAAGAAGATATGAGGCGTTTTTGGTGTGATCTCCATGCCCTAGCCACTCAAGCACACTCAGCCACAGAATCTCTATGACGATGTTGCAATCGACTGCCAACCTCAAATCCGCAAATGCAGCGCGATTCAAAATCGATTCCCACTTTTGACTCGCAAACAAGCAGAAGAGAAGTGAATGAAAGAGGCGACGAGGAATACAGCTTTCATGAACATGAAGTGCGGCGAGGTTTGAGGACCTGCACGAAATCAGTCGAGCAAAGAGTCGGCCGCCGTTCGGGCCAGATGATTCCAGGCCAAGTCTTCCGACTGCAATTCGCTAAGGGTCATCGACTCATCATGCACCCGCCATGCTTATGGAGGGATGGAAACGTTACAATCTGCATAAGACCTTGCGCTATACAATGGCTGCCTCAAGCCGGGAAAGCTTACGTGCTGTTGCCACGTCGTCGGATCGCGTGTTGTTTTTGGATCAAGAGCCGAAAGTCACAAGACATTTGGCGCGATCTGCCCGGAGAATTTTGTTGCTTTTTTTTGGTGGATGTTGATTATGGCAGCGAGGAGCCTGATGATTCTCGCAAGTCCCGACTAGGGCCGGGCAAAGGGTCATGGTGATACGACCCGGCAGCGCAGCATGCACGGGCTAAATCAACTCCGATTGGTAAAGGATTTGGCTCGAGAGAAAAGGGCACGGACGTGAGATTTGAGGCTCGGCTCAAATATCACAAGGATAGAATCGAGACGGTCACCTGTAGGCTGTAACCCAACTACCAGCTGTCACTTCCCTGATTTGGATTGCAATCAGTCCATCCCCATCCGCATTGCCCCATCCGGATCGACGGGAACCGGGGCCAAAGGAACAGGTCAAATGCGAGTCAGACCGCCGGGTGCGCGTTCTGCTCCTCAATTCGTATTCTTCAGAGTTAGTTGGTAGCACGGTCGGGGGATGCGGTGTGACCTCTCTTCGCTTACACTCCTCAATGAACTACTGAGTAGTAGGGCAGGGAGGCAATCAAGCCACTGGCGCCTGCGGAAGCTTTCTCGCGAGAAGGACAAGACCGCCAATTCATAGCTTGCTTCTCCGGACCAGACTTGGCCTTTTGGCACTTTCTTGGACGCCAATGTTGACCGAATGCTGATCACAACGCGTTTGTGAACCTTCTTAAAAATCCAAGCCTCTGAGATAACGGTTAGATCATGCCTAGAAATGATTAAGATGAAGTAGTCCAGCAGGCAGCCGACTAGCTGGTCAGCTGTATGGGAGGGGTGGGGCGGCGGCGTAATCCGACAATCATCTATTTATATTGGGGTTGATCCTGCAAAGTGCTGAATAGTATCCCAATCCCAACCCTGCAAAATCGCCAGTGGCTGCATGTTTATACTGACGGGCCAGTAGCATAGTTAACCCACCTCAGCATTCAAGCTACTTAGCGAAGCCATAATCTCTAGGCTGTGTTTCCGTAGTTGTTGACATTAACCGGATGAGACCGTGACTGAAGTGTTGTTTATATTGTCGAAAGGCCACGCAAGGCCTGTCATGCAATAAGCAATCTTTGGTCAATAGTGGGATATTGCGTTGGATTCGGCCCACTTTGAGCAGGGAGATGATTGTTAATCATATTTTTCATGAAGTCGGATTATCGGCGGGATTCCGTAGCCCGCTTGGCGTGTCTGAATCATCAATCATGCCTTCCGTACGGTAAGAAAGGAGTTCTTCCTCTCATGTTCCTGTTCGACTCATCAGATCCATCCATGGAACTGCCTGTTCTAGAAGAACGCTAAACCCGTCCCGGGACTTTTATGCGACCCGATGCAGCATAAGGTTCTGAACTGCATGTCACAATGATGATATCTCTTTCTCTTTCACCCCGATCAGCCCTCTTCGTTGAGCAGGTTTTCTACTCAGTATCACTGTTCTCATGATCAGTCCCACCACCCAGCATTTCACTCAGATCCTTGTAAAGTGGGCTGCCAGTAATTTCCTGCTAAACAACCTGAAACGACCCTATCTGGGCTAGGACGGTGGATTATATAAGACAGCTATCTGCCTCCAACTACATACTATCTCCTGGACCTCGGCAAGTTCCCCTGTCGAATAGATAAAATTTCCACCACACACGATCCCCCCACATCAGCACTTTTCTCTTCATCACCGACTAATCACATCAAGCCCTCGCAGACGCTATCGGGACTGCCGTCCACGAGGTGTGCGGATTTGCCCATGGAACCAGCATTTCGAGCCTCCTGGGTGGGTTTGTTGGCCCACATTGGCTGAGCCCATGCAGTCTCGCCCGCCCCAGTGATGAAGTTGTGCCCTGCATAAGCCGGCCTCTGTGCACGAATATCGGAAGAAAGTCTCCGTTTTGGGAATCGCTGGACTGGTGTGTCCCTGGGTTCCTCGCTTTGGTCTCAGACCGGCGAGGATCCGAGGCTAAAGTCCCTTCAACGATTTGTCGTTCCCGTCTGTAGCGCCAGGGCGAGATGACGCCGTGGTGGCCGTGGTGGGACAATGCCAGGTGGTGCAGAGATTAGCAGAAATTTCTAGCCCCTCCCCTTAGTCTTGACTCGTTAGGCCGCTGTATATATCCGATGCCATGTCCTCCGATCGTACGTAGGCTATTTCGGTTTCAAGCTGAAGATCATCTATCCGATTGATCATACCTACCTCATTTGATCGTCGTCTTCAGACGTCGACTCCAGTGCCTTACCTTATTAAGCAGCTGTCGCCTAGCCTGCTACTATACGTCTCGGTCTCAATCGGTCACTACTAACGACGGTTGTTTGTTTGGACCCTGGGTGGCTACCATAACCGGTATCGGGACATACTCACCAACCTACCTAATCTGCACTTCAACCAACTCCATCAGCTACCTGATCAACTACCAACCTTCACCAAGCGCTCGTCCTTCTCTCTCCCTCCGCAATGGCCAACGACAAGGGGGACAGTGGGCCTTCGGCCATGGCTATTACCGGCAACAAGATCCCATTCTGGCGTCTGTTGACCGACCAAGGCGTGGTAACTCAGGAAATTCTCGATCATCATTATCCTGGATCCGGTACCGATGAGGATCCGTATGCCGTGACTTGGCTCCCCGAGGATCCCCGGAACCCCATGCAGTTCAGCGAGACCAAGAAGTGGACTTTCACCATGATGATGGCGCTCGCAACCTTGGCCGTCGCCCTTGTGTCATCGGCATACACTGGTGGTATTATCGAAATCGAAGAAGACTTCGGAATCGGTACCGAAGTTGCGACCCTTGGTGTCTCTCTTTTCGTTCTTGGTTTTGCTATTGGTACGCTATGCAATCCAACATCATGTTTTCGCATGTGTGCTGTAATCAGTCCATCCTAACAAATATGCAGGTCCGCTCCTGTGGGCACCGCTGTCGGAAATGTTTGGCCGTCAAATCGTGTACTGTGTCACTTACATGGCGCTCACGGCGTTCACTGCCGGTGCTGCTGGTTCCAAGAACGCCTGGACCCTTATCATCCTTCGTTTCTTCGCTGGTTCTTTCGGATCGTCGCCCATGACCAACGCTGGTGGTGTCATCGCCGACATGTTTCCTGCCAGTCAAAGAGGTGTTGCGACAAGTTTGTTCGCCGCTGCTCCTTTCTTGGGTATGTTTCATTCTCTCTGCGTCATACCATCTCGAGCCGCTGCTAATCACCATTCTTCGATACAGGTCCCGTGCTCGGCCCTATCAT